AAAAGTCCTTTCCCTGTCTCCATCCTCCAGCGAGGCCAGCACAAAGCAGCGGTAACTCAGGTCTTGAGACAGGGGCTTGTTGTAGAAACCTTTGTAGTTCTTCTCGTCCCCCAGCGTGAAAGTCTCGGGCAACACATCCACTTGAGCAGCAATGTAGGGCTTGAGCCTGTCCGCTTGGCGCCGCTGGCGCCTGCTCTGACTCCCTTGGCTTATGGCCTCCAGCAGCTGAAGGCAAAGAAAGTGCATCACCATCGATTTGCCCTGCGCATGACACTGCCTTACGGTCAGACACAGAGAGTGCCACCTTAGAGGCTTAAAAATAAGGAAAAGGCAAGCGAGCGCCAGAGCTGCCTGTGTCTGTACTCTGACTTGGAAGGCACCTTTAACGCAGTCCCTCTCCCAGTGCCACTCGCTCCCCTTTCTGACCGTGCACCTAGCTGGGATGCTGCATTGATGACTTCATGACCACTGCCATAGCAACGACCTGATGTAAGGTAGCCGTTCGATACCTTACCCTTTACGTAGCTCAGCTGGGTGGAAGGGAAAGGAGGAAAAGACACTGGGTTTGATTTGGACACGGTGGGACAAAGAAACCACAAGGATGCATGTCTGTTGAGGCATTGCTGGAGCACCCATGTGGGCACCCACGCTGCAAGCACCTCCGCCTCCAGCTCGGCTTTGGGAGAGTCCCGAGGTGCGGTGCTGATGCAGTGAATTTTAGGGCTGAGACAGGCTGGCTGTGCCGCTCGGGGTTCGTGCATCCCATCGGGCTGCGAAGGAACCAAGCCGCGCTCTGCGGCCCAACCGTTCGTATGGGCGGTAACTCGCTCTCCCTACAGACATTGCACGTGAATTACAGCTGACGCTGATGTATAGGGTAAAAGTGACATTTGCTGTGTCTTTCCCTTCTGTCGGTGCTTCAATATTTCACCTGCTGCTGGGCTGCAGGCAAGGCTTTGCGTAAATCATACAGAGCGATAACAGATTTCATGGGACGTTCAGAGTAAAAATGGCAAATTTCATAGTCAGCCACAAATTCATGAAAAAGGATATAAACACACAAAAATTCAATTATACTGCTAGGAAAGGCTCTCGGATGTTTCAAGATGTTTTTCTAATGAATGAAAACGAATATCAGGCTTGGAACAGAAATTCTAATTTAAAATGAAGAAGGAGGCATGAAATACATTTCACACAAGAATGTATCCGTGCAGCATTGTCAGGGCAGACAGGGAACGTCAGAGCTACGGTGCGGCTGGGGACAGTGATATTCGCACAAAGCTGCACTGCTCAGCTCCCTCCCATCTGAACAGGAGAAGTTGGATAAGGCGCTCACTGCTCTCCCCGGCTCCGAAAGTCCACCCTTGCCCTCTTACGGAGCCTCGCATCGGAGCAACTCAGGAAAAGCCACAGCTTGTAATTGCAAAATCATGAAAAATAGATGGAGAAATTTCAGTTTCACAAATGTCCTTGCAGCCACAGGGGAAAAAGGCAGGAAGATACTCTGTGGGCTCTGCTCCCTACACATGCTGCTTGTCTCTAGGCTGAAATGACACCTAGGCTCTTTGGGGCAGAAAGTGTAGCTACGTGTGCATGGCCCGCGGCACAGAACAGGTAGGGCTCCAGTAGTGTTCAAGGCTGCTGGGTGCTACTGACACCTATTTATGAAACACACACCAAAAAACTACACCACAGGAACGCCAGGTTTGCAAAGCTCAGACCTTCAAAAATTAGAAAATCAGAATTAATATTGCCTGTGCAAAATTAATTCAGCCATCTTATGTCCGTGCGTCGTGTTACGATCCTTGACTATATGGTCACACACTATCTTTTCTCTAACTCCCCTGCTTTGTTCAATACACAGGACAGGCAGTGCTTAATCAAAGAGCAGCTTTTCCATATTTTGTTTTCTTCTTCACATTATGCAGCCTGAGGCCTTGTTTATTGCTTACTATCCAAACTCAGCTCTGAAGACAAAATTAATAATTTCCTCGTGGGCTTTTCTATGGTGCTGATCACTATAATATTACAAGTGCTTCACAAACATTAACAATCTTATCTTCCAAACACCCGTATGAGGTGAGATGAAAGCGATTATCCTCATTTTACAGATGGAAAATAGAGGTGCAGGGACATTAATGTAAAAAATGCCCACTAATTTTGAATGTCAAATAGAAAAGCCATTGGCTTGTTTTGTTTTTAAAGAAAAATTAGCATTTTTCATACCACTGAATATATCCAGCATAATTCCTATTCGCTTTATCTGCAGCTGGGGATGCTTAGATTTTGCAAATAAGGCTCCAGGATCTCAAACTGAACTCAAGCTGAGGACATACGAGTCAGTTTGCCGCTAATGAAAATTTTGTTTTAAAACATTTCTCCAGGACCACAGTGGGACTAGGTGAAACAACTGGAGACAGAAAGCAGTTCTCTGGATAGCTTTCAAGTACCTAATACTCAAGACTAAACCATCTGTTCCCATCCCACTCGTCTCTTTCTTGTGACATCTTCCAACTTCTGCAAAGAAATGATGCAGCAGACCTACATGGTGATAGAGATGATGGTTCTCTATTACTCAGTACTACCTCTCGTGCAGAACAATCTGCCCGTACACAGAGTGAGGATGGGACCCCATGGCAAAGACTATGCAATCATGTAATTAAAGATTAATGGTAGGCAAGGGCTGACTTCTAGCACTTGCAGCTTCTACCACTTGGTAATTTCTGAATGCTTCAAGTTTGCAGCTCTGTTCTCTTCCTGTGTGTGATTTCTTGGAAATTTTCCTTACTAGTTTGTAGGGAGGGGGAAGAAGTCCAGAAAACCCCCTGGGTGGGACTCTCCCAACACCTGCAGATGCACCATGCTGTTGGTGCTCAGAGGGCTCCTGCTCAAGCAGGCTGCGTGTTGGGATGAATGGGCTGCTCAACACTCAAAGTCTTTAACAAGCATTTGTGAAGAGAGCTTTGCAGATGCTCAGAACTTGGTGGGTTTTCGTAGAATCCGAAGTGATGTCTTCACTAGACTGCAGGTCTGGGTCCTATCCATGGAGAGGAAAAGCCTCTTGACAGAATAGCTTAATAAGTTGAAAATTGCCTTTCTCTCTGAGCTTGTGTTCAGAATCAGCTGGGTTGTTTCAGATGAAAAGGGCTGCAAGGAACGTACATCCTGAGACAAGATCCGTCCAGCTCAGAGCTACAAGACCCTTAAGTGTAGTCTCCTAACGGGGCACGTTCTGGGAGGTGGCTTCTCCCTCACTTGACTCCAGACTCCTTCCTACGTGTTGCCACCCCCCAAGTGAGGCTGAGTACACACTGCATGTCTCTCAGCCCAGCCTTGGGCATCCAGCCTGCACAGACAGTACTGCATCCGTGCTGTTTCCAGGTGGCCTGGGCAAAGCATACCAGGCGACCTTGGAAGGACTTCCGCTAAGCAGCTACTATAGACCCTTACCTGATCCAGCTCCATCTCATCAGGTGTCCGCCACCGAGCAGTCGGGCTGCTGGTGCTCTGATCCGCTGGCACAACCACAATGTAGTACCACCTGGGAAGGAAGGAAAGGTCAGGGAACAGCTTAAGCTCTGGACCCTATGTCATATCTCTGGAAGGTCACCAAACAGTGTGTGCCTCAAGCCTTCCCAAGGAACGCCTGCTCCTTTCCCTGCCCTCTAAACAGCAAAAGGGTTCAGTAAATAAGAGGCCAGTTTTCCAGCTGCACCAAAGAAGAGAACACTCCCATTAGCACTCATTAGGTTAATGATGATCTACAGACTGCTCCAGAGGGTGGTGTAGGAGCTGCGAGAAGGACATTCATATAATCGGATTGTAGGGAGAATCCTGGGGGAATTCTGCTTCAGCACAAGGATACCACAGTAACGAGCAAGACTTCTGCAAACTCACTTTTTTAATCTCCTCGAGGCTTTAGGCATTATTTATTTAAAGGATATTATACAGTGTCAGAGAAAGTCCCTCCTGATCCTCAGCTGTGTTTTTGCTGGTAACATCTGGAGTATACCCACTAGGGTGAGGGCAAACTGTCACAGAACAGTCTTAATTTTATTGCACATAAATATTTGCTCAGAAAGAGCCAGTGGCATGATCTCATGTTTCAGTTAAATGCCTGGCTCTGTATTGCTGCTTTGAAATTCATTCCTGGGTTACAAAACCCACAGGTTGGCATAGGCCTGCACTGCACTCTTCCTGCCTCTATCTCCCACCCTGCCTTTGCCACCCTTGGAAAGCACCTACCTAACCGGCACAGTGGTCTGGACTTTGGGGAGGGCGAGCGTGAACTTTCCTTCCTGTATGTACTTATTTGTGGCGATGGGTTTGCTCTGCAAGACGTCAGGCGCGGTGCGGATCGAGACGAGGTGCTGCAGCCCCCCAGCGCTGCTTCCGCGGTTCATTAGCACAAAAGAATAGTCTGTGTCCGGCTGGAGGTCGCTTATGAGCTTCTTCATCGAGTGGCCGTCCACCTCCACGCTCTGGCTGTTGTACAGAATCTGAAATGGGAAAAGGACAGGCTCATGCAGCAGACAGCTGCTGCTGAAAACTCATGCTCAAAATAGCAGCGCTGGAGATGACAGTTTGGCTCTGGGCCCTCCCTCAGGTGGTTCGGCTAACGTGCGCTCCGCAAACAGCCATAAATCTTTCGTTAAAGAAGAGCAAACCGCAGCAGAGGGCCGAGACGCGCTCGCTGTGCCTCGCAGCAACGGGGCAGTGTGAAGGTCATCGCCGTGAACCTTGTGGCTAGCGGCAGGAGCGTGCAGGGCCAAGCGGTGGGCAGCTCCTTGCAGCCCACAGTTTGGGGATGAATCCAGAAGGCTGCGCTTCACCCTTGTGTGCAGATGAACCGGCCTTTGCTTTCTGTCTCACGGGGCTGCAGCACACAATACGCTTTTGGTGTAAAATCCTGTCTGCTTCGAACGGGTGTCGCTACCGCTTTCACCAGCTGGTGCGTGGCTGATGCCGAACATCCCTCGCCAGGCGAGGCAACCTGAGGGGTTACGCACCTCGCCTGCTGATCGCATGCAGGGCTCCCAAATCTGTGCCCCCGAACCGTGCCTTTGCAGGTGATGCCCATCACCATGCCCACGGCTGCTGGCAGCACTCCCGAGAGCCATGCATCGGCTCTCCCCCCAGCTGCAGTGCGCTCACGGCCAGGGGCTGCTGCAGCCTCAGCCTTCAGGCAGCGCCTCTGCAAAGCCCAAAACTCAAGGAGGTCCTGGAGATGGAGACAAATGGGGCAAAGAGAACTGGAAGAGACCAGAGGTTGCTGCTCAGCTATGATAATAAACCAGCACGTTTCTTTCCCCGGACGACCATCCAGCATGGCAGGAGAGCACGCAATTCCTAACAGACGCTGCAGAGATGCAACGTGCCAAAAACTGGCAATGGGAGAGCAGGAACAAGTTAATTCGTGGCACCTAACACATGCCCCAGGCAGAAACCACGCTGTATAAACGTGCTCTTTCCAACAGCGGCTTTGGGAGACGGAAGACAGCTCCATGAAAGAAAAATTACTGGAAGTAAAACAAATCTTTCACCAGACGGGCCTGTTGTTCAGGCTGACACATGCAGCACAGGAGGGATCAAACTCTCCATTCGACTCACCTTTTTAGCAGGTGGCAGAGCCCTGAAGAAAGCTGCCGGCTCGCTGGGACAAGGGCAGCTTATTAGCACTGCTCTACTATTCAGTGTTGGAGCTAGGAGGGAGACCCTGAAAAGGCATCTGAAGGAGAGCCAAGCACAGGGAGCAGGCTGGGCCTGGGATCTGCAGCTCTGCTTTTGTGTTATCCAAATAGTGATATTCATGGCATGCTTCAAACTCTCCTCAGGTGACCACTTGCATGGAGGTTTGGGTAGGAAGTGAGCCCCTGCACAAGCAAACCCTTTTGCTGCCCACTCCTAAGGACGTCATCAACTGAGAGATGTTCAACAGGTAACAGAGCAGCGGCGAGGAGGCAGCAATGGGAGGAGAGATGCAGTCTTGTTTGCTGACATGCTTCAATCTTTAGGGTTCGACTGTGAAGATAAGTCTTAAGTGCTAAAATACCAAGGAGGTTCACAGGGACAAAGCCCCTGCTGGCGACCCAGCAGGCAGGTGGAAAGGCTGACAAAGCTGGGATGTCTGGAGGGAGCTGTTCTCTGCTGCGACTCCTCTGAAGGAGGATCTCTTGATCCTATATTTTCCCGGGCTTTAATATCTTTCTCCAGAGACATGCACATCACACGGGTGCTAAAGTGAGCGCAAAAAAGTAAAATGCAGAAATGCTTCTTATAGCACTGGAATGTCAGATATTTAGTTGGCAGTTTTCACCCTGCTCTGTCACGCAAATAGATGCAACAAAGACAGGAGCACTAGACTTCCAGTTACCTTAGCAGCTTTGCTGTCCCTCCTAGCACCACAACACGTTACTGTAATAGTACAGGTCCAGAGACTTCAGACGAGAGCAAGTCTGGGCTGCCCTGGGGAACTAGCAGGACGAAACTTCTCCTGCTCCAACACAGACTGGGACAAAACCAAATTTCCGACATTACGAGCCACGCTGGGATGACGCAAAGCCCTGACTGAATTTTGTTACCTCTCAGATGAGATTTCTCAGTATGAAGCTCCCTAATAAAGGTATCCTCACCGACTGCTTCTGCATCTGCACTACAGAAGACACTTGCCTACCCACACATGAGGCATCTGCTGGGGACAGAGCTGGCCGCCTGGGCTGGGCGTCAGAGCAAGGGAAGGCTGAAGAGATGGCCCTTTCAGGCACTTCAGTTCAGGGTTTCCGTGCTTGCTCTCGAATTGGCCAGGACACGGCCCCTGTTTCAGACCTGACTCCAGATGATGATTTTTATTGCCATGCACAGAAATTTGTGCCCAGAGACAGTGAAATCGGCACTTGCAATGCTTTCCTGAAGCATCCCCCGCCCTCCCCCCCTTTTTCACAGTTGCCGTAACAGTTCTGTGTTCCTCTCCCTGCCACAACACATTGTCTTCTCAAATGTTATGCACCATCAGTTAAAGCCTCTACACAAACCTTACAATAATACAAGGGCTCAGAAACAGTCATTTGCGTGCAGCTGAAGATGCCCAGGGGCTCAAGC